AAATTAGGATGATCTCTCCAACCCGGGTTGTAAACATTTGAATACGGGTCATATCGTGGACGCTGAAAATTATTAAATGCATTAACTTGTTCTGCTGCAAATTCCGGATAAGTATCTTTATGCGGACAGATCAAAAAATCATGGGTTGTCACATTGCAAATGCTACAAGCAGCTGGTAAAGGTTGCTGTACAGCAACCTGTGAACCTGGAATTCTTTGTAATAACATGTCAAATTTTGCCTCAAATCTTTCAAGCTTTTTCTCCATTTTTTCAATTTGTGCCGACATATATGGAGAACCATTAGATATCTCAAAAACATACCTTGATTGTGGCTGCTCAACTGCTTATTGCTGTGTATCTGCTGCCATTTTTTCAAATAATAAACAAGCCTCTTGTGCATTTTTATCCTTGTATGATCCTCCGCATGAAGCGTTGACAAGAGTTTTTGTTGTCATATTTAACCCTCTGAAAAATATATGCACTTGATCCGTACTGCCTAATACCAGAATGTGGACATTTTCTATTCAACTCTTTAAACCGTTCCCACGCCTCATGAAACTCTTCATTTGGTTTTTGGGCAAAAGATAAAATTTGAGTTCTCATGTCGAGAGTCTTTGAAGCTGGATAATACTTGTTTAAGAATTTTTCACTGAGTTGGTTCCAAGTGCTAATGCTTCCAGATGGAAGTGTGAGGAGCCATCTCCTTGCTTGATCTTTCAATGTGTAAGGAAATAGACGAAGCTTAATAGATTCAGCTGAGAATCCTTTCACCAAAATATTCTTGCATCCCATTAAAAATTCTGCAATGTGCATGTTAGGATCATCGGTTGATAACCCATGAAATGTAGGTAGAATACTCAACATGTGATGCTTGATTTCGAATGTAGACCCTTCTTCCACTGCTGGATATGTAATGCAACCTGGTATGTTAGTGGCATGAGCTGTTAAAGAATTACCCAAAGGATCACCAGCCTCTGGAATAACAAAAGCCATTGTTTCTGTACTGTGCAGGTCCTCAGAATATAAAGACTGCAGAAAAGTCCCTTGCAGTGAAGGAACCCATAGCAAATTTTGCTCCCTGCGTCTCCTCCTTAAAGATTGCTTAGGTTCTGGATCAAACGGAAACAATTGCTGAACTGCTGAACGTGTGCTGACCATGCACAGATTGTAATCTGCACTGCCTTGCTGTGATCTGCAAAAATAAATAAAAACGAAAATTATTTCTTTTTCTTCTTTTTTTGGTATGTATGTACAGCAATAATTAATGCAGAATCTGATTAGAACGAATTATTTTAAATAATCCTCGGCAACGGCGCCAATTTTTTAGTGACGTTTTGGGCTTTTATTTCGTTTTTGGAGCCCAAGATGACCTCAGATGGGTTCGTGGCCTTCTGGAGAAGTGTTTGGAATATTTTTATCCTTAAAACAAGCTATCTTGGGCCATATTTGGAGGAGATTTGATACCAAAACGTGGCTGGGCAGATTGTGAGTAGATTCTCCTAATCCAATTTGAATTTTATATCCTAGTATTATTTTATTTTAACCTAGTTTCTTTGTGGGGATTGGGCAGCTAGGTTTTAGGAAGTATTTAAGTTGGTTTTGACAGCAATTTTTGGGATCTTCTTTTTTACTTTTGAACGTGACATTGTGGGGAGCAATTGCTAGGGTTTTGGGTTTTTGCGACTTTAAGGTGTTTTCATTCTTTTCCTTCTTAATGATATTTTCTTGGCCATTAGGATGTTTAGAAAAGTAATTTGATGCAGTTTTGGTCGGAGGTCGGTCCCTGAAATTGACGAAGGCTTCTTGTGATTAATATGTGCAAGTTCACTTAGGATGAATACCACGTCTTAAGGGTTGCATGGTTTTTCAAAAGGTTTCACAGAACTTAATGAGACATGTATGTTTAGATTTGATCTGAATACCACAGACGGATTGCATGTGTGATATACGCTCTATGTTGGGGGTCCAAGTAGGCATATATTAGGAATACCTAACCTTCGAAATATGCATGTATAGGTCATAAGTAATTGGGGGAACTATATAGAATTGTTAAGGTGACGGCGGATCCCTAGTGCTTTCTTAATTTGATTTCTAAAAACACAACTGTTTCCCTTGCTCTTAGCTTTAATTTTGCATATTGCCTTATTTTTCTTAGTTAAATTCCTTTTAATTTAAGGTCTTCAAATCAAACATCTCAACTTTCTCTTTTGCAATAATTAATTAGAATTTGGTTGCTACGAGTTATTCAATAATCACTGCGGAGAACGACCTTGCGAGAATCATTTATACTACAATAACCTTGTCATTCTTGCAAGTTTTGTAGGAGTTTTAACCCTGTTTGCGCAGGTACTAAAAAGCCTATCAGCTCTTCCAACCTTCTTGTCTCCAATGTTACTGGGAATGTCAAAGCTGCCAGGATTTTCTAGTTCTGGTGGAAGCTTGCTTTGCAAAACAACACTTACATTCTTGTTAAGCTTTACTTCTTCATTTGGAGCAAAATTGAGCTTATGCGTTTTCAAGTTCTTGATGAACTTTCCACATGGGGGAATCTATTCAATAACATCAAGCAAAGACAAATTGATATCAACTTTGGTGAAAATATCATAAATCTATTTAAAAGCCTTATATTGCTTCGCTTTCTTAAGACGGTCTGGAAATGGATTCGATGGAACATATGGAACGGGTGACACATATCTATCTTCTTGAAGATGTGGTGGCACGAATTTGTCATCCTTTTTATGCAGTTGGAATGGATTGGGTTTGTGACACCCCGTGTAACAACTCGATCCTAAATTAATTTTTAATTATTAATTTATTATGATAAAAGACCATTATGCCCCTAGAATATTTTATTAGGTTAAAAGTTAACTTTTTGACAGGTAAGGAATTTGGGAATTTCAATTGTATTGTTAAGTAGAGCACGTTGAGATGAGTCCGTAGACATGCAGTGGGCTCAAATCCGAGTTGTATTGAGAAAGATACGATTAAAACTTATGCAAGGGCAAAATGGTAATTTTTCAACGTTGGATTTTTAAACTCCGCCATTCTTCCTCACCATTTTTCCGATGCCAACCTTTCTTCCCAACCTCTTGCACAGAAAACCGGTTTTGTGAGAAAAATTCTAGCCACTCGTTCTCCCTCCTCCAGCCACCGTTTCTGCCGAGTGAGATATGGTTTCTCATCTACTTTTCGAGCTCTAGCTGATGGTTGGATAGGATTTGATCGATTTTTAGTTCTGGTAACCCAATTTATAACTAGGTTTTGACCAGTTTTTGAAATGAAATTTTGGCCACTTGCCGTCCAAATTGGACATTACCGTAGCTGAATAAATTGCTCCACTCGTCCAGTAGCATCTATAGCCGAGAGGCTGGCCCTTGATTTTGAATTTTTCGGCAAACTGTATTGCTTGGGATAGCCATGCACTGCCGACGCATGTGGCGACGCGTGGGTACTGTAGCTGAGGGGCATTGTGTCCCAGTGCGATTCCTGAGTTGTCATGAGCGCGTAGGTATGCTCGGATTTCAATTTGGATATCGTTTGAGTCTTGAACGGATTTCATCTATTGTGCGATTTCTGGGTTTGATATGTTTGGAGTGTTGGATCGAACCTAAATTCACATATCTTGTACCTTGTATTTTCAGGATTGTATAGAATTCGATGGATAGTTAATCGAAGTCCCGAATACTCCAAAATCGTCATTCCAAGAGCAAGATAAATTGTAATCATCCGATCGTGCGATCATGATCAATCTAACCGTTCGATTTGGACCCAACTTGCAGGGTAGGTTTAGAAGAGTGCGTTGAACCTATAGGGACTCCCGAATTTGTGATCGGAGGTCGTGGGCCTAGTGGGCTCGGTTGACCAAGCTTAGGCGGTTTGAGCTCTCAATTGACCGTGAGTCTTCTTAGGCAGTTATATTCTTTGAGAAGTGTTAAAATGGCCATGTAAACGAGTCCTGACCAAGAATGAGTTATCTGGGTCATGTTACAGATTGAGTATAGATAGTTACTTATAGATTACTAATGTGCCCAGTAGTTGAAAAAGATGAATCATGGCCCTTGGTTTTTATCAGATTGTGGCATATATATATATATATTTTAAGTATAGTTGAGAATCAATTTATCAGACGTTGATATAAAGGTCGGGAAATGGATTGTGCAATAAAGGGAAAGTATTGATATATTTTTGGGATATGGTTTTTCAAACCCACCACAAGAGTACCCTAGTTGCTTTGAAACAGTGTCAGTTATAAATAATGCCCCAAGGACCAAGGTCGTCATGATAATACCTGGCCTCGAAACATAATGCAGATGGCAGAAATGGTTGTGGGTTGGCCTCCATAATTTCCATAAAACCCTCTTCATGCCAGAGGGCCAACTGCTGGTGTAGAGTGGAAGGAACACATAGACTATGGTGCATCCAGTTTCTGCCAAGCAGTGCATTGTAAGTAGGGGTGGTTGGGGTTCGGTAACCGCAAATTTTCACCCGAACCGCAAACAGACCGACTATTTGCGGTATGGTGATTTTTGAAACCGCAAACCGTGAATTAGCGGTTTAAAACCGCAAGTTCTTTTTGTGTCATAAAAATCAATTCTTCCACATTTTAGGCCTAATTTTGATGCTTCTTTTGAAGCCTTTTGAGTTCAAGCATACTTTAACCCAAATATATAAATTCACAACCTCAACTTCTCAAGCATATATAAATTCACAACCTCCTCAACTTCTCAAGCATTCACAACCTAAAGAAAATTAAAGTTACAATTCCAAGCATTCCAATTAAAGTTAAACTTCTCAAGCATTCACAACCTCAACTTCTCAAGCATTCCAATTCCAAATCCTTTAAAGTTACAAACCAAAAGGAAAATACAATGCAAAATGAATTAAAGTTACAACCCAAAGGAAAAATCCAATTCAAAGTTAATTAAAGTTACAAACTAAAAGGAAAATGCAATGCACCAATGTTACAAACTGAAGTTAGAACTCAAGGGTTGGTGGTGGTGAGTTGATTTGAAAGACCCCGTTGTGTTGTTTGCCTAGATCTCCTTATAACAGACTTTCTCATTCTGCACCAAAAGCCTCAGTTTCCTCATCTAATTCTCCTTCGTACTCCATCTGTTCTCCATATTCTTCTGTCCAGACTTCTTGTTCACCTGTTTCGAGGAGTTAAATCTAGTCGTCTGCAGATGGTTCGTAGTCCAACTGCTCCTCTTCATATTCTTCAGTCTAATCTTCTTGTCCTTCTACTAGAATAGGTCCGGATTGACCTTGTGATTGTGAAGGTTCAAGCTGATTGACTAAGGAAGAGGTAGGATGGGTAGAGGGTTTGCTTGAAGACTCTGTCTTCCTCAGCTCTTCTGGTTGACATGTTGTCTATTTTGCCTGAGGATCTACTTCTAGATTTTTCCCTTTTCTGGTAGAACTAGTCCCTAGAAGTACCTGTGTGTCATTGTTATTCCTAAGGAAGATGTAGTATTGTCTTTAAACTCTCATCTTCTGTGTTCTGGTTAGTTCTAGAGTTGGTCTACCGCTTTTTCCAACAGAATACCACCTGCCTTCTATGATAGTTGCCAAGGGCTTGTCATTTCCGGGCATCTTAACTGGTATTTCCTTCTTTGGCTTCTCTGTTATTCTTCTATTGCGTTGGGCAGGCCTTAGATAGTCCTTCTGTCTGGCTCTGTCTCTAAGTAGAGCCGAAACTTAGCACTGTTGGTATGATGTTCCAATCCTGTCAAAAACACTAGGTGTGGGCTGACTTTACCTATCCAGAGTTACCTCTAACTCACTTTCATATTTGCACTTGCTGACTACCCCAGCCGAAATGGTTGCTTTTGGCCTTTGATTAGCCTCTCTCGTGGCACTTCTGCCTATGCCAGGGCTAGCTTCTGCTGTTAGTTTGCCTCTCTTCTATTCAGGCCAATTTAAGTTGACCATGTTGACTTCAGGTTGGGGAAAATGATCTGTTGTTATTGAGAGAGGTTTCTCAGCCAGTTTTAGTCTTCCTGCTATTATTGCTTCTTGTATGACGTCCCTGAAAACAACACAACTGTTGGTGGAATGGTTCCAAGAGTTGTGCCATCTGCAATATTGTCTGCCCTTGAGTTCCCCTGGCTTGGGCAACCGGTGGGGTGTCTCTATTGTCTTCTGTAGCAACATCTCATCAAACAGAGCATCAACCTTGATTAAATCGAAGGAATAGTTTGTTCTGTGCTTGTTTGTATGGAACAAACCCTCCTGTGAATGGTGGCGGCTTCTGGTCCTTTGGTGGCTTTGTCAAAGCCTTGCAGCTAATAGGATGTTTTA